GTCTGTCTGTTTCTGCCTCCCAAGTGCTGAGATTAAAGGTGAGCACCATCATGCCCTGTTTCTGTGGCAGTTTTTGGCATCTGGGGGATTTGGAATTTTTTTAACTGGAACAGTTGTTCAACAAGCTCATGAGACTCACACATGCATGCTAGGGTTATAGATGTATACAGACACACCTGACTTCCATGTGGGTGCTAGGGATACCCACACATGCTTCATGCTTACAAAGGAAACACTTTACTCACTGTGCAATCTCCCCAGCCCTGGTTGTATATTTTGAGCACTAGAGAATGGTGGTGACAGAAGGGGACTAAGAACCTGTTAACTTAAATTTCAAACCAGAAAGATAAACAGAGTAAAATTCACTGCAGAAAAGCAAGGATGTCCAGGTCAGAGGGCAATTTGCAGGTATGGGTGCTCTCCACCATTTGTGCCAGGGATCAAATTCAGGTACTTGGACCAAGTCTTTAACATATGAGGCTTTGGCAGATACTTACGTGAACTGTTGTAGCTAGTTGCACTAGAAAATGCAAAATATTATGCAAAATATCTTACCTATTATGAGTATGAAACATGAAAATGAATAGTTTAAAATAATAGCCCTGGCTGGTTTTGATGCTGAAAGGCAACATTAAACAATAAAAACAGGAAAACCAAGTTTTGAAATGATTGCCAGGGATTTTTAGTTTTCTGTCTCTGAGGGTTTTATAAGTTTTCTGTTGAATGTACTTTTAACTTCACCTTTTAATATTCAAGTATCTGAGTGCCTGCTGTATGCCAAGTGTTGCTGAGTGGCAAAAGTCCTGCCATGTCGTAACCCCGTGTTTGGTTGCCCTCTTGTGCATGGTGGACAGGTGGATGGGTACTTCAGATTCTAAGACTAAAGAAAGCAGCAGCATTTTCCATGCTCCTGGTATGCTTAGAGAAATATTTACAGAAAGAAGAATATTGTATCCTATTTCAATATATTATTTTTGGATTAAATAATGCTTCATGGATCTGTATAATCAGTAACAAAGTTTTCTTGAAAATGTATCCAGAACTTCATTCTAACACGTGGTCTTTCTTCTAAATAAACAGAATAGTAGGCTTGAAGTTCTGGTTTTACTCTGGCTGGTCATTTTCAGATGTTGCATCATGTCGCAGAGGTTGTAGGGCAGCAGGCTGACTTTGGTGAGGCTGGTTGCCATGGCATCTGTCAGCAGTCCTGTCATGCTGGGAAGCTGGGCTGTCTGTGCACCTGGTCCTCACTCTGTATTTGATGGAAATCATCCTAGGGAAAACGGCCTAGTTGTAATAGACTCTGCTTTATTTTAATACTTTAGTGTTTGCATCTTGTTTTTGAGATCCTTAAGCCCTGTTTCCAAGCAAAGGAGGAATTTTTGTTTGAGACTATCTGCTTTGGGAACATCAGAATTGAGTTTTATTTTGCTTCAAAGTGCTCTGTTGATGGGCAATGAAAGTGAAAGAGGTACCGGCTAGTATCAAAAGATTGACAAGTAATCGAGCCCAAGCATTTGGAAATTAAAGCATTTTTCATCAAGTGTCAGAGCTTTTATATGAATATTAAATTACATGGTATGACTTAGCATAAACATACTTTGTAAGGATCCACACTGCTTACACGCTCACCTGTTAATGGAACAAATTATGCACAGCTGATGGATTTTGAAAATAGCAGCTGTCAGCTTCTGTTAAAATCAATCAGTGGCAAGATTGTGTATATTAAATCTTATATCGTGTCATGAAAATGTCTTTACAGTTTTACCACTAATAAGCATAACTGTCAGTTTCACTGTTGACGGTATTGTAGTGTGCTTTGAGTCCAGATATTTTACTTGTGTGCTACTTTTAATTAAAACTTTGTTATTGTTAGTAAAACTCTCTAAATACCTAGTGTTACACTTTAAAAAAAAATATTGCACAGATTTTGGTGTTAGCTTGGAAATACCCTGCATTCTCTTGTAAATTTTATTTGCCAAGAGCTAGCAGGTGAGAGCAGCATATTTCCCAATGAGTCTGCTTGAAAGTGGTGTTAGTGGGGTTTCACACCCGGTCATTAGTGCCTTTGAGGGAGCCCTCTGCAGGTGCTTTTGGAATACTGATTATAATAACGTCTATTGTTAATTACCCAAGAGCATGATTTTATTTTTTCTAATTGCTCCTTAGTTTTCATTGACAGTGTAGGCTGGCTTGGTCATCCAGCTTAGTGTTAGATGGCGCTCAGCTGCTTCTGAAACTCAAGTCTCTGTTCCTTCCCTCTTTGTCATCACAGATTCAGTCAGCCTTTGCTCTTCGTTTCAGTTGTATGTCTTAATGGTCTTCCTTACCTATCATCATAGCCAGGTCCTTTCATTCTTTGCTCCCAACCAGCTGTTTGAGATCTCAGGCGGGTTCTTTGGCTCGCTGACCTTTCCTGTCAGAGGCAGGGTCTACCCTTACCCCACCTTATCCTCCACCAGCCAGCTACTGGGTGTAGTCTGTCTGTGCTGTCCTCATCTTGAGATGAGGTTCTGAACTTAGCAAAGTGATCACACTCAAAATAATGTTGTAACTTATTAGTTCAAATTCTCATTTTCTTTTGTGAGAAAGTGTCCCACGATGTAGCCCTGGGTGTTGAACTCACTGTGTAACTCAAGCTGACCTCAGACTTGCAACAATCGTTCTCCTTCAGCATCTCAGATGGTGGAATACAGGCGTGTGCTACCACACCCCACTATCAAAATAGATTTTTATATCAACCCATATTCCTGTTCATCTTTTTATTCTTTCTCAGTAACTCTTTTTTTTTTTTTTTTTTTTTTACATAGCTACTGAAAACCTGGGGTTAAAAAGGAAAGCATGGTAGCCAAAGTATTTCACAGCTAGAAGTGGTGATTCAGTGATGTGCCATAGACTTGAATGTCGATAAAGAGCAGCCACTTGGAACCATTGTGAAGCCATGTGTTAGCTCAAACACAGTACTTTTCAGCCACAAGTCTGTGTAACTATCACTTTTTGTGTGGCTGCGCAGAAAGCACAGTGGGCAGGACCTTAAGCTCTAGCCCATTCATACCTTAGGAAACTGATTTAGTCTGGGGTCAAATGACAGGTGAGGTTACAGAGGTAAAGACTGCGATTGAGATTGCCAACCTACCAGCTTAACTCCACCCTTGGTATCCTTCCAGGGAAGTGTCCCTGTCTGGGTCTCTGAGGTGTGTGGTTGATTTTATTAGACAGTATACATGCCACTGTGCTGACTGACTAACACATAGTCACGTGAGATGGGTTGTCTGAAATGCTGGTCAGAGGCTCCCTGTATCAATCCTCTTTCCCAAAGACCCCTTCAAGTCCTGAGAGAGACAAGCTTGTGTGCTGCATGCTTGGATGTCCTGAGAGGCAAGGCCTATGTGATATGCACTTGGATGTTTTCGTCTGACTGAGTCTTGTGCTATTCTGTTTTCAAACACGAATTTAATTTAATCACTGTTATTAGTATCATTAAAGTGTCTGTAATTGCTTTTTGCTTCCTAGTGAAAGTGTTTAATGTCCCCTTTAGTGACCTTCTTCCTGTTTGTGACTTCTGAGTCTGGATACAAGCAATAAAAGAAGTTCATTTAATCTCAGCTTATTTTTTAATAAAGTAACAAGACTTTCAACCTCATCCTAGTACACATGTAATAGTTTACCTGGAGGTAATTAAATAGAGGACTTAAAAATAATCTAGTTAAAACATTGTATCTTTTAATCTAATGTTTCACAAGTATTAATGAATAATTATTATTATAATAATTGGTACGAACACTAACCAGAGTGTCTGTTTGTATCACATGTAATCTAAGCTAGTATTTATCACAGAAGAAAGATTCTGAAGATATGCATAAACCATATTTCAGGAGTGCCCGGGAATAGAGAGCTGGGGCATGTGTGAGGCTCATGCAAACCTTATCATGGGAGTCTCCCTTGTCTCCAGGCCACCTTCATTTCTAGGGTTAGAAGGAGGACAGGCCGCATTTTAGGACAGTAACTTCTGCTATATTTCTGGAACACTAACTTTATATGAGCCATCATATTTTTATTATGCTTTATGGTTTTTATATTGACAGCTTCCATGCTGTACCTATCAACAACGTGTCAAATGCTTACTTTGGTATCAGACAACTGAAATATTTTAGGCAAATCAAACTATTTGGTTCTCCCATGAACTCTTCATCCTTCTGGTATGAGGTGAAACACCCATGGCCAGTGTGATCCATTTCTAATTGGTAAAGAGCTGAGCTTCCAATCACATACAGCATCTGAATGGACAGTGTCATATCAGCCATTATGTGCCACTGTCCTTACTGCATCTAAATACTAGGTTATCACAATTGAATGTGCCATATATTTTATGGTGGAATGGGTGCAGGGATCAGGGGCCTCTATGGAATTGAGTTAGAAATCAAGGTATCTGTCAGAGACTAAGATCAGAAAAGGGTAGAAATGTGATGCTTTGAATAATAATGGCTCCCATAGCTCATTTATTTGAATACTTGGTCCCTAGTTGGTAAAACTGTTTGGGGAATATGTGGCCTTGTTGGAAGAGTTGTGTCACTAAGGATGGGCTTTGAGGTTTTAAAAGACTGAAGCCATTAGCGGTGTCTCTCTCTCTGCCTCTCTGCACCTCTGCCTGCCCCTGCCTTTTCTCTTTCTCTCTACCTGGTAGTGGTTGTCTCAAGATGTGAGCTGTCAGTTACTGCTCCAGCGTCAGGTCTGCCTCCCTGCTGCCATTCTCACCACTAGTAATCATGGCTTCTAACCCTCTGGAACTGTCAGCTCCATGTAAACTCTTCTACAAGTTGCCTTGGTCTTGATGTCTTATCACAGCAATAGAAAAGGTGCTAAGAAAGAGACCTTTTGTTTTACAGGAATATTTGGGCTAGCTTCTGTCTGGATCATTAGGGTCCTAATTTGCTACACTTCTAATTTCATCATCTATGTATTTCACATCACATTGTTGGTAAATCCTTTTGTTTTCACAGAAACTCAAACAGAAGAATCAACAGCTGAAGCAGATTATGGATCAATTACGGAATCTCATCTGGGACATAAATGCCATGCTGGCAATGAGGAACTAAACTGATATTTAAATCTTCTGCTCTACTCATGTGATGCGATTGGCTGTTTTTCCCCTTGAGTATTCCTCCCTGTGCAAAGATTATTTATTTCTTCATCTTAAGGGCTAGCACTGGACTTGCTATTTTCACACTGCAGTGTTTACTATACCCTCCTGTTTAAATGCCATTGGTTTTAAGATTGTTGCAGTAGCCTTTGATAGAGTGAGAGTTGATGAAAGATTATTATACTGGCCTTTGATAGGGTGGGAGAGGATTCATAGTTAATATTCATGATTTGAATAAGTTGAAAAGTTTATAAATAAAAATTCAAACATAACCAGTGTTTTTTCTTATTTTAGTTGCTGTGTTCAAAGAGAGGGAAAATATAAATATTTTAGCAACCATATTTTCTCTAAAAGAAGTTAATTAAAATTAAAAATATTACCATTTCACCTCATTTTTTTAAATTCAATTTTATTTTCAAACCAGTAACTAGTTTGCTGCTCTGAAATTACTTTTATCATGTTCTTAAAGTGTTTTTCTGAATTGAAATGAGAGAGGTGATTTAACGAAGATAAAAATTCGTTACAGATACTTGCGTATCTGTGACCTGCCTTAAGCCCGATAGCAGGGAATTTGCTTTTCACAGATATCCCAATTCTGACTATGTGTAGAAACAGTGCATTTTTAAGAATTCTAATCTAGACTATTCTTTAGAACAGTGGTTCTTTCTCGTTATTATTAATTTTTATTATTATTATTATTTAAAATGCATTCACTTTGTATCCCAATTGCATTTCCCTCCCTCACCTCTTCCCAGTCCCATCCTCTCTCCTTCTTCCTTCCTGTCCCTCTCCCTGTCCACTGATAGGGGACATCCTCCCCTACTGTCTGATCCTAGCCTATCAGGTCCCATCAGGACAGCCTGAATCCTCTTCCTCTGTGGGCCGGCTAGGTTGCCCCCACCAGGGAGAATTGATCAAGAAGTAGGCAACTGAGTTCATGTCAGAGACTGTCTCTTCTCCCTTACTAGGGATCCCACATGGAGACTGAGCTGTTTATGGGCTATATCTGAGCAGGGACTCTAGGTCCTCTCTATGCATGGTCTTTGGTTGATGCATCAGTCTCTGCAGTACCCACTGGGCACAGCCTTTTTGGCTTTATTGGTCTCCTTGTGGGGCTCCTGCCCCCCCCCCAACTCCTTCTATATCCCCTTCTTCCATAAGACTTTCTGTGCTCTAGGACAGTGGCTCAGCCTTCCTAATACTGTGACCCCTTATTATGGTGACCCAGCCATAAAATTATTTTCTTTGCTACCTCATAACTAATTTTGCTACCATTATGAATTGTACTGTAAATTCTAATATGCAAATGGTCTTAGGTGATTCCTGTGAAAGGGTTGTTCATCCCACAGATTGAGAGCTGATACCTTAAGATAAAAGTACTTTTTCAGTTTACAGGTCTGTCTGGCGGGCTTTCTAGCCTTTGTCACAAGGTCCTACCTGGTCTGACTTGACTGTGAAAATCCTGCTGTTTGATTCTTGTTTGTGGATTAAGTTTCTCCAAAAGGTCACCTAAGAAACGAGTAGCCAGCTTCCTCTGAGAAAGGGAACCGATACTTGGGATCAGAGTTCAGAATTTGCTGATCTTTCATTGTCTACACTTTTGTACCTTCTCAGTGTAATAGCCTGTACAGATATTACCTAATCAAAACTACATTTCATGCTGAGCTATGCAGATTGCCAGCAGTATTAGGTGACAGAGTGCAAGAAGACTTGAGTTTACTTCTGCTGATAACAGTTCTAAGCAAGCCCACTATTGATGAGAATCATCGGGGAATCTCTGTATAGTTGCAGGGCAAAAGCAACTATGTGAACCTGAGACACAGAGAAGCATGTAGGACAAAGTCTAGGTTAGCATGGTACTCCACAGGACCTAAGGATCGTACAGCTTGTTAAGACATGCAGGATTTCTGTAGGTTTTCCTATGCACCATAGTCTGTTTAGCTTTTGCTGTTGTGACTTTAATATACTATTGTACTAATGATAATGAGGCATGCATGCATGTAGAACAGTATTAATCTAAGCTCCACTTGACTTGGACTAAGCACATACCTCTCTTTGAACAAAACACTTGGCAGTCTGAAACCATACCTGTACATATGGGATGTGCACTTTCCTAAACAATTCACCTAGCAGCGTAGGATCCCTACTTGCATAAAGCTGCACACTACCATCTCTGAATAATGGAATAAATTTCTTTTCCTTTAATGACCATCTTCCTTAGGATCTCCAGTTATACCAAGAAGGTGAAGAGGGCTAGATCTGTCTTAGACTAGGAAGGCCTAAACAGTTGAAATCAGAGCCTTTGGGTATCTCCACTCAGTGTATTGTGGTAAATTCTGTTACTTCCCTTTGAATAAACTTCCCTTGTTACTTTCCAATCTGTGTTGAACTTTTTATTTCAGTCTTGAATAAGATGCCAAGGATTAGTAAATACATACACTGAACAGTGCTATAATCACCACACTTGTTAATTTAGTGTTTCATTCGTGTCAACCATTATGGTAGTAAAAAGGTTTGACGTAGGGCTTGGGTGTCTTAAATATGTCACTCAGCCATTTAGATCATCGACAGTGGCACAAAGCCGTTCTCAGGGTGGTAGAAACTCCATGCTGTAGGCCTTGAATACATAGAGAGTGACTCTGGTAGAGCAGAAATGAGTGCGGTTACTCTGCTGTAGAGCTCTAGCCAAAGTTATGGGCAGCTGCGCATGCTCCTTCAGAACGGGGGCTCTCAAGATTCCCTGTGGTCAGTCGTGGCTGTGGTGGGGCTGTTGTAAATGCAGATCTTGCTAGCTCTCCATCTCTACCAGTAAACTAAAGTGCCAAGAAAGATAGCTTTAGTGTAATATATGTCCTTGGGCAAGACAGCCTGTTCTCTCACCTGTGAAATGATATGTGAGTTTGGTTGATTATTGTACTCTATGTTAAGACTTTTGCTTGCAAATTTTAGAAACTCAGTTCAAAACAGTTTAAGCCTACGAGAAGTATTTCCTAGTTTCTACAGTGACAGAAGATTTGAGAGAAGATAGGACAAAGATGTCATGGAACAATAACAGCAAAAGCTGCAGTAACTAAAGCACCAAGAATTGCAGCCCAGATCCTGCAAAGATTTCTTGGTCCACCCTAAATCCTACTTATGTCTGCTCCATTCTCTTTCAGTAAAGACAGGATGTTTCAAATGGTGGGAAAGATACTCCTCTGTTGTCTGAACATTTTTTTTTCTCTATCCTGACCCTAAAAGTTGAGAGACTTATTCACTCCTAAGTTAAAAATCTTCACAGTAGACTCAAAACCTTTGGGTAATAAAACCAACAATGGATCTGTTGTGTGCATAGGCAATACAATAGAACTAACCCATGTTATAAATCTGTGTGTAGCCAGGACTTAAGTATAGATGTCATAGAAAAACACACTAGGGAACAAAGATTATAGAAGAAAAAAGGACCAAACAGGAACATTTTGAAGAAAATCTAACCACAAGTAGTGATATTCTTCATTCATTATATTACCATCTCAGACACAGTAATGGAAGTTATTTAGCCTTCAACTCCACCCCCACATCTCCCTCTCAGAAAAAAAAAAAAAAAAAACTTCTACAAAAGCCTAAATATATCATTCACCACCACAGGGAAATATCCTTTTCTTTTTGTAGACTTGTCTACTAGGGTTTTTGCTCTGCAGCTGTTTTCTTTGCAGCTGTTCGGGTTCATAACAGTGTTCAATTCATCACAGTCAGGTTTTCCTGAGATGGGTTAAAAAACAGACAGATAGGAGAGAGTTAAGAAAAACTGAAGGTTCCAGCATGCTAGTAAGGACATCATCTTTAAATGACTTGGCAACCTCCGGCCTTGATCATTCAGACATTGCGTCCCATGGCACTGTTACAAGCCGAAATGTGTTAATTTGACGTTTTGACGTAGTTCCAGCTTGAGTGATTCATTTTCTTCCCCTAAATTCCCACTGCAGCATATGCTAGACAGAGGAGATTTTTAGCCTTAAACTAAAATGTGTGCTTATCCTAAAGCCTGAAAGTGTAAGTTACCCCAGGCATCTTTTTTACATATTCGATGCTTTAAATTCTTCTCTAATCCTCTAAACACAGAAGTGTCAAGGGTTATTTTTTTCAAGCAAGTTAAAAACATTCTTGGAGGAATTTTTTTAAACACAGAATGTTAAAATTTTTTGTTGTCACTTTTTAAGCTAAAAAATTACAGTTGAGTTTATTTAGTATTTTCTTAAATTGTATTTTATACAGATTGACATTGCCTAGATATATTGTTTTCTTTCCCCTTGAAAGTCACACTTTCACCAAGATGTGTTTGTATTCAAATCATTACTAGAAAACTATCAGAATAAACATGTGTTTTCTCTGTAGTCTAAAGTGTATATTAATCTTCTAATGATTGTAGCACAAAACTATAGAACCTTGAACCTGTTTCTCATGTTCTCAATAGATGCATTTTTGAAGCAGTATTCAAGCACACACAAGCATCACTATGGTTAATGCTTTTCATATGCATATTTAATATATATCACAAATGGACAGAATCCGAAACTAAAGTGAACTTCTAAAAATCCACATATTTAATGAGTTTTCCAGGTGACTGAAAAATAGTCTAAGCACTTTACTGAAAAATGTTGCAAGTATTTTAGTAGGTGAAGCTTCAAAAATAGTAGTAGTGGCATAAAATAAAATAAACAAAACCGTATTTAGAATTCTGGTTTTGAGTATTCAGTGTTCTATCAGCACTACTTAACCTCAACTGCACATTAGAACCCATAGGGGAAATGTTAAAATTCTCTCTATCAAAGCCACATCTCAGGCCAGTTAAATCAGAATCTTGTGTGGGAGCCAGACTTCAGTGGGCTTTACTGTCCTCTGGTGATTTCCACATGAAGCCGGAGTGAGAGCCATTGCTGTATTTAGGTTTGTAGGCATGGAAAGAATATTGAGGAGGGTCTAGCTAGGATATAGAGTGAAGAAATCTGAGAGGACAGAAATCTGAAAACCACCTATGCATACAAGTGTTTGGGGGTTGTAGGTTTTATTTTTGGTTTTAATTCTTATTTTGATTTTAATGTATATAGGTGTTTTGCCTGCATGTATGTCTGTGTACCGTGTGTGTGTGTGTGTGTGTGTGTGTGTGTGTGTGTGTGTGTGTGTGTACCTGGTATCCTGCAGAGGCCAAAAGAAGGCATGGAGTTACATGTGGTTGTTAGCTACAATTTGGGACTGGGATCATGCTCTTTAACTGCTGAGTCATCCCTCCAGCTTCACAATTACTCCAGCTTTCACATTACTCTTGCCATCCACACTGCCACCACTGGTAGAAGAGATGACACCATACTGCAAGCAATGTTTTTAGGCAAAAGCAAAGAACATTTTTGTTGAAGAATCCTCCCCTTCTAAGCAGCTTTGGCATTTGGAAGACATTATACAGGTCCAGGGGAGTCAAAAGAAAGACCACATTTCCCTTTGTTCCCAGTTCCACGCTGAACATGGCCACAGCTTGTTTTATACTGACAAGGTAATTAACCCGGATCCCTAATTTATTTTCTAGCTACCATTCATCACTCTAGGCAGCAGGCAAGGTATGTGTGTACCTCGTTGAGAATTACAAAGCTCTGGAGTGGAAGTAACAAGAGAGCCATTCATTTATAGGGACTCTAGAACAGCTCTTAGATTTTACTTTCATAAATTGAATATTCACCCCTCTCTGAAAAAAAAAAAGTTAATGGACTGACTTTATTCTACTGAAATTTAAATTTTTCATGGTGCTAAAAGCAAAGTTCAAATCAGGGTCTTCTGCTTATTCTACAAAATATCTCAGTGGTTAAAAATTATAGCTGTATATGCCCGAACCTGTAGCAATTTAAGCAGACAAAGACACAAGCCGACAGTGCTATAGAGATGTTCAGCTCTGGGAGATGAGGAAGTAGTGCAGCTTTAATTGTAATAAGGTGGGGGAAACAGTTTTCAAAGCAGCTTTAAGAATCGGGGAATAAAGTCATTTGTGAAAGCGCAGTAGCTAAAATCTGCAGATGGCATAGCTAACAAATAAATCAATTAAAGAATGCAAAGTATGAGCAGAAACATAAATGTGAATTAAAACCATACAGGCTTCAAGTTATGTATGAAGAAAGTATTTTAACCACTGGTACTAAAATCTTAAATTGAATTCTCTGATGAAACAGAAAGCTGATATAATTGCCTACATAAAGGGTGGTTTGAGAATTACAGCTGGTGGGATAAAAGAGAGAGAGTGTGAGAGAGAAATGTCTCTGTTTTGAATAGATAGTAAAAGCATGACAGATGAATAGAGAGCCTGCCAAGACAGCAACAATAGTCCAGGTGAGGAGTAACTAAAGCGTAATGCAGTTTCTGCCGCAGACTCTGAGTTAAGTAGTAGCTTCCTCATTCAGGATGCTCACGATGGGAAACTCCTACATGAGACGCCTCGCCCACCCATGCTCGGTTGTTTTTCCTTCTGTTGGCCTAGTGAGTTCAAAGAGTTCAGAGTGTTTCCTGGATAAACTGGCTTCTGTTTTTTTACCCCCTCCCCTCCAGACCTTCAAAAATTCATGAGTACTTTGTTCAAGTATTGGGTTATTTCGGTTTAAAATTTATGTTATTATTATTACTATTGTTAATATTGTGTGTGGTGTTACGATATGTGTGTGTGTGCATGTACATATGAGTAGAGATCAGAGGACAGCTTTGGGGAGTTGGTTTTCTGCTTCTACTTTGGGACCTAGATATCTAAGTTAAGTTGTCAAGTTTTCACGAAAGGTCCTATGACTGCCAAAGCATTGTATTTCCTTACTTGTTGATAATACTTGCTGTATTTGGGACCGCAGGGGATGTTCCCTTACAGGTCACAGAAGCAATGCTGCCTTAGCTCAGAGGTCTCGCTCTCCCAAAGTGGAACTCTGAAGGGTCAGACAGCTTGTGACCCTTGGGACTTGAATTCCCATTTTGATTAGTATCTGGTGTTATTAAGAAATCCACCACAATATATTTAATATAAGGAAAGAAATTTATTATGAAAGGAGGTAAGGGAGAGGGGGAAAGGGGCTCCTCAGAAAGGAGATAAATCAAGAAAGTCAGAAAGAGTCAGAGAGAGCGAGCAAGAGGGAGAACCCAAGCCACTGCCTTTTCTGGCTTGCCTCCATGGTGGAGGCAGGTGATGATGTCAGAGGTTGCTAGGCAACCTAAGCAGGTTATTGGGAATAGCCTAACATCCCTCCCTTTTTCTGTAATTAAAAAATATCAACCTTAGGAAGGGGTAGCGAGACAAGAATGAGGGTGTTGTGTTCAGAATCTGTTCCCTTCAGACTTAAGGACAACAAGATTTTTGGGGAGCCTAAGGGAATTGGAG